CAACAGAAACATGTTCCAGACATTGTTTAGATCTCTGTCTTCGGTGTTCAGCATTTCAAGCTTTCAGCAATTCAAGTTTTCTGGCAATTGCAATTTGAGGGATAAACCACACCGATCAGCCGTAAATTGTCCGCCCGAAGGTCGCCGATTCTCTTCACTTGAATTCGCGGATACAATTCCGGCCGGGGATTTATGCACCTGCGACCTATCAATCCGAGTGTATTTACACTGAGGCAATAACCTTAAATTTCAGTCAAAGCAAAAGGTAGCAGTGGGGGCTATAAATTGGAAAGTGAAAAATATTGTGTTCACTTCGTTTTAATATTAGGAAAACCTAATGTTCCACAATATGTACATATTATACATCGAATTTCTTCAAATTCAAATTCGACGCTCGATGATCAAACAGCAGTGAATTCTTCGTAATTATCTTAGGATTTGATTCTTAAACTATGAAGAATTCCTGAATGATCACAATATGTAAAACAATTAAAACTATTACTTAACAAGATAAAAATATTAATAAGTAAGTAAATGACGTATAAAATGGTGTTTGCGGTGCATATCGATTGGAAAAATGATATTGCTGTGTTCCAAACAGTCACCTGTGTTATTATACCCTTGCAGGGTATTATAATTTCAGTCAGAAGTTTGCAACGCACTGAAGGCGACCTTTTTGACCCTATAAAGTATAAATATTCTTGATCAGCATCAACAGCCGAGTCGATCTAGCCATGTCCGTCTGTCCGTCCGTCTGTCCGTTTCTACACAAACTAGTCCCTCAGTTTTAAAGCTATCTGAATGAAACTTTGCATATAGTCTTTTATATACTCTCACTGCTATATATGTCGGAACGGGCCGGATCGGACGACTATATCATATAGCTGCCATACAAATGTTCGATAAATTTTAAGAAAAAACTTTATAAGTTGGCTGTTTTTCAACATTTTTGCACCATTATTTATATTTATATTATTTCAGAATTTCGATAAAAATTTCATGAAAATCGGACGACTATATCTTATAGCTGCCATAGGAACGATCGGGAAATTAATAGGAAAAAAAGTATAACTATATATATAACTATAACTATAACTATTTTATTATTTCAGAATTTTGGTATACATTTTATGAAAATCGGACAACTATATCATATAGCTGCCATAGAAACGATCGGTGGATGTATACAAAATGTAAAGCTGGGAATGTAAAACTGTAACTGTCAAACTGTAAACAAAATAAGTATAGGTAAAGTGTTCTGAAACTCTGTTTTGTGTGTGTTTTCAGCATTTAAGTCTATAATATAAACACCAAAACCAATCTGCAAGGGTATATAAACTTCAGCGTGCCGAAGTTAGCTTCCTTTTTTGTTTCTATTAATTTGACCTGAATGGATTAATTCTTAATGAACCAAGTTAGCTTCCGTTCTTGCTTTTCTTAAAACCTTACTTTCTGCAAGCAAAGTATTATGTTATTTAACTGCAGTTAAATGTCCGTACTTTAGCAGAATTACGTCGTTTTTATACCCTTACAGGGTATTATAATTCCAGTCAGAAGTTTGCAACGCAGTGAAGGAGTATAAAAGTATACATATATATTCTTGATCAACGGCCGTAGAAATCGAGAAATTTTGTAGAAGTTAAAACTATAACTTGGCTGGTTTCAACATATTTTGATCATTTTTGAGATATGACCATCTTTTATTATTTCAGAATTTCGGTTAAGCTGTGAGTGTAAAACTGTAACTGTCAAACTGTAAATATAAAAAGTATAGGTAATTTGTAATGAAACCTTGTTTTGTGTGTTTTTCAGCATTTAAATTTACAATGTTTATTTTATTAGATATTTTAAATCTAAAATATAGTTTTTCTATACGATTAAACTTTTCTTTTTTTTTCTAATTTTATGAAAACCCAATTATTTTATTATTTATGTACGAATTTTTTCTTGTTATTCATACATTTTATTTTTGTTTTTTTCTATCTAATGCTCCTGTTTTCGCCCAGTGTTTGCATCTATCATTGGCCCCGTTTCAAAGTTTGCAGCATAGCAAAACTGATCAAACGACAGTCTGAATTTGGCCAGAACGGTCTGACAGTTGAGCACATTCCAAGTTTCGCATTTTACCGCACACTTTCCCTCCATAAGAGAGGCACAATATTGTAAACAATAATAAACACTCGCACACCCCAACAACTGCAAATTGTTTTCATGTCAAAGAACCGCATTCGATACTTTGTTTCTGTTGCTCTTGCCGATTTTCGTTTTTGATCAGGCAAATGTGGTTCCGTTCAATGAAACAATGAAGAAAGTACCCTAATGGGAAAACAAAATCAAGATCAAAGATTTTTTGGGGGTCTTGATAATTTCGGACTGATCTTCTGGCAAACTGTTGGTCGTTGTGCGGAAGCCAGACACTATTACTCACAAATATGAACAACCTTCTGCCAACTTTACACAATTTCCGAATCATAGTTTTACAAGTTGTTTTGATTTAATTTAAATGATAGAAGATATTTATAAAATGAAGTTGTGTTCTATGCACATTACTGTGCATATTATTGTTACTATAAATATTACTTAAATAAAATTTCGGTGCTTTTTGGGGACTGAAGTCCAAATGCGAATCCCAGGCCATTTGGGGCGCCATGGGTGGGCGACCGCCTTAGGCCTTTGGATCTTGGTTCTTGGTGGTCTTCCAGGGAAAACTCTTTTTCCTCCGCTGGCAGTTTGTGTTTGGAAATCGCTTTGATGTCGGCAGGTGGCAAAGCTGCTGTAGAGAATAAATGTTGGTTCTATGGTCTTTTCGAAAGTACCGGAATGGAAATGCTGTGGAAATAAAAATCAAATAAATTGTTCATCCCAATTCCGTTTGGTCTAAACACCTAGACAAATAAACAGGGAAATTTCTCCTCGCTCGATTTTTTGTTAAGTGTAATCAAATTTAAAAAAAAAAAGCAAAATCCAATTAAACCTGCCATCTACGAATGTTTCCATCCAAATTGTTGTTTATCTGGAGGCTCTCTTTGTTTTCCATTTGACTCACTCGAATAAGTAAATATAGACCATAAAGATAATACCACGTGCAAATGTTTGAAGGGTGAACGTGAACCCCATCAATCGAAACAATTGCGCAAGGCTGCTCTGGACTTTGTTTAATTAAAGTTTCTGAGCCTTTTTTTAAATGAACATTTTACAGGAAAACTATTAGACATTTTATAAGAGAAAAGGCTTGGTGTAAAAAAAAGGTAAGTGTCTTTTTAACAAAACGATGACCCCTACAAAAACATAATACGCTTCTTACTTTTCGCTCTACGCGGCTTATTGATGTATTACTATCTTATTCTAGTACCGACATGGAATGTAAGGCAACGTAATTGAAAGTAATGGCTTATTATTGCGCCACTTTAGACCCTTTGGTCTAATGTGCAAGTTATAACGATTTGTACGCAATAAGCTGAAACGTAAATAGCCATCCTGCTCTGAAAACTTTAATCCTAATCATCACTTCACTGCGTTGCAAACTTCTGACTGAAAGCATTATGCTTGTTGCAAGGGTATAAAAAAAACTACATAAAGGACAAGTATTCTGAGGTACTCACGCGACGTTTTCATTCAAAGTGTTTTGTTGCTTATGTGCATTGATTACAATTATTCATTTAGTTAAGAAACTTATTGGTTAAATAAAGTTATTAACAGCAGAAAATGAAAACATACAAGTAAAAGCAACATGCTCCTGTATCTTTAAACAACAACATTTGTTGTAACCTTTGTATTTCGCACCATAGCAACTTTTCCCTTCATACGTCAACATTTTCTTCTGCCTTCCGTCATATTTAGCTTTTTCATAAATTCGAGTTTAATTAGACCAAGTGAACCAGCCGTGTCCATGTTCCTTTCAATTTCCCCCATAATGCTTTGGATTCGTACCGGCTATCGTAGCACTAGACACTACTAGATAGACATTCAATGGTCCAATTGAGAGTTCTAGGTATATAGCTTCCTTTCTCGTTTTATATTAATACAACAACATAAATTTACGTTTAATTTTAGTCAGAAGTTTGCAACGCAGTGGAGTCATTTCCGACCCTATAAAGTATTTATATTTTTGATCATTTTGTCTGTCCGTTCTATAGTTAGTTTTCTGACTTCTCTCAATAGTATACGAGTCGGATCGGACGCCTGAATTAAATAGGTGCCATAGAAATGATTGAACATTTTTAAGGAAAATAATATAATCTACTTTAAGGTATAGCCATTGTGTATTATTTCAGAGTTTCGATGTAAATCGTATGAAAATCGGACGACTGTATCATATATGTAGATTCCATAGAAACGATCGGCAGAGAAAAGTTCAAAGCGGTGAATGTAAAACTGTGACCGTAAAACTGTAAATCCAATATGTAATAGGTTAGTTAATGAAGTTTAGTTATTATTATTATTAGTTAGTTTTTATTTAGTTTCTTATTATTGTTTATAATTGCAAACTGCAATACAAACTTCTTGTTTTCTGTTTACTTTAAATTAACTGACATCTTGCGAAACCATAAAAAAACACACGTAAACTGATAAAGAAGTATAACTGTATAACTGTCATTAAATCCAACAACAAAATACAAAATTCTTTAGCTTTACTGTGATTCATCCCACAGATATGGTTGAATTTCCTCCGTGAATCACACTAGTGCCTCCAAAGGGAAAGCCCATAAGAGACCATTTCTATAGCTTTCAGCAAAAAATACAATCCCGAATAATGATTTTTTAAAGGCCTTAATCCAGAATTATAGTCTAGAATTATGTCTGGAAGTCGCATGCTTGAGTAAAGAAAAATATTCGTGATTATTCAGACAATCTACATATTTTACTTGTAGGATCGAAAAGAACTCTATCCCTGCTTTGCAAACCTTGAACTAAAACTGTAATACCTTGCAGGGATATGAAAATGAGTATTTATTTTAGTGAACTCAAGAAATTTCGCAAAGAACATAAAAAACACTTACAGATTTCCTCAATTTGCGAGGGCGCCTCCATTTCTATGGCATTCAGGATCTCGGGCATGTTTACTACGCTTCGCGAATAATCGATTGTTTTAAAAAAAGTATTCGCTGTGTTTATAAAATTTCACAGCGCGAGCGTTGCAAGTATTCGCTCGTTTTTCCCTTTTTCCGACTGCAATTGACTGCATTTACAAAGGCTAAAATTAGTTTAGCCCAACACCACAGCGGATCCAAAATAGGAACAGAAAATAAATAGAAAAAATAACGGCACGAGTAATATCACACACCGCAAACCGAAAAAAGTAATTATCAACTATGACTCAAGGTGGGGAGACACAACAAATGCGCAAACTGAATAATAGAATCAGAGTTCACTTGCTCTCGGCCGGACTATACGTTATGGGTTGCTTTTGAATTCATTTCGGGATCGTTTTAGGTTTCAACTATTACTGTGTTACGCAATTTCGTTTCGGAAAATTCCCATTCGAGTGCAGCGGAAAGGTGCATGGATGTGGCGAACTTTCCGGCTGCTTTAATTTCCCGCTATCCGATCGCGTCTATTTGCGTTGACGGCTGTCCAGTTAATGTTTTCTTTTACTTTCCATTTCGATCCACATGCCAACAGCTCAGTCGCTTTCAAACTCATGGAATTTTCACGTGTGTGGGAGAAAAACGAGGGAAGAGCGCGAGAGAATCGTCCAAAAACACTCTGCCAATCGATCGTTTTTCCTCGGTTCTGCTCGGCTGCTGGCTCACTGAACGGAAAATCAGAGTGAATATTGCGAGCGAGGCCAAAAAGAAAACCTCACGAAAACTCATACAGGCCTGTTCTAGTTTCCACTTCCGCAAAATTTATTCGGATTCGGATTTCCCTGACCTGTTTTAGTATTCACTTCCGAAAAATTCTTACGGATTCGTAGTTCCCTCTGTTAAGTCTCTGTTAATTTGCAGGAGAAACGCACGGAAACTTTCCGTGTGCCATTGGGCCGGCGGATTCAATTCCGCAAAATCAGAAATTAATTATTTTAAAATACAATGCGATTATGAAAATTACAAATTTTAATTGTATTTTATTCCTTGAAGTTTTGGGAACATTATTGCATAATTGAATTAATTAATACTAACATACTTGATTTAAAAATAATTATTTTGTGGGTGCACCTTAAAATCGGTTCGATTCTAACCTTCAACATAATTGCAAATCCGCCGCCGCTGTGTCGTATTTAAGAGGGACCATTTAAGGGTTGTCAGCGTTTAAAAAAAGGCATATATTTAAGATAAATTTTGAACAATTACTTTTTATGTTGTTTTACAATTAAAAGATCTGCTTTTAGGGTAAAGTATATGAAAAAGTGTTTTTGTTTAAAATACCAGCCAGTTTAATCTACAAACTGAACTAAGTGTTATGCGAAGGGAATTTTTTCTAAACCCTGGGCAACTCTACTCTCGAGCATTTGCGACCAGAACAGCTGATTGCAATTATAAATATTTCAAAATGTTTATTTCCAGCCGTAAATGCTTATTCCTTCGATTTTATTAATTAAATTAGTGCTTCATTACTATCTATGAGTTGGAGACTACAGCGGACCAAAATTGGATCAGCTCCTTTTAGCAAGCCTTAGACAAGGCAAACTCTTTTGTTGAAAGCGACCAGCTGATTTTGTTTGGGAATATAAGGGAAATTAATAAAAATTTCCTTAAATCACCAAGGGAAATTCGCTTATGTTAAAGGGAAATCCGCAAATGTTATCAAATTCACTTCCGAGTGGAAACTAGAACAGGCCTGATAAACTCCAAATAAACTGACAAATTTGTAGAGCAAAATTACTACTTTGCTGTTTTTCAATGTATTTTCATCTACTCTGAGATATGAGCCTTTATTATTCCAGCATATCGGCCAAATCTTATGAAAATCAGACTACTATATCTTATAGCTGACATGGAAATGATTAAGCTGCGAATTTACAACTGTAAATGTCAAACTGTAAGTATAATAGGTATTCATAGGTAAATGTAATAAAATTGATATAGCTTAATTATATTTTTTATATTAAATCCAAAATATAGTTACTTTTAACAATTACACATTATATTTTTTTAAATTTAAAACTGTTATACATTTCCAGTTATTCATCTATTATTTTAACCAGAATGGATCGGTTCTTAGTGCCGAAATAAGCTTCCTTTCTTGTTAAACTATTCATACTCTGTCATTAATTCAATATTCTCCCTCCGTATTTTTACCGTAACTTTATAAAAATAAGTAAATGCAATCAACCTATGTATGTATGTATGTATGTACATACGTGTGCACCTGACAACAAAATGTCAAATATGTGAGATGCAAAAATGCTAAAATGCAGATACATGCAGATACAGATAAAGATACAGAGAAGGTGTATTTGAAAGAGACAGAGAGAGAGAACTTTTCCACAACTCTCCATTCGCAGGTACACCAGCCGATGGCTACCGCTCGGGAATTTCAATTAGGAGCTAATGCTCGAAACTTGTCTTCCGGTTCTGGTTTCCACTCGAAAGTTAATTTTATAACATTTCGGATTTCCGCTTAACATAGGCGGATTTCCTCTGTTGATTGAAGGATTTTTTATTAAATTTCCCTTTGGTCCCTTTTCTTCCCAAACCTCAAACTAAAAATCAGCTGGCCGCTACGTTTGTTTGATCAAATTTTGGCCCGCTGTAGTTTTCAACCTAAGGACGGCAATAGAGTACTAATTCATTGCATAACATCAAAGGTTCAAAGATAGCAATCATACAGTGAGTCACAAAAGTATTCGTTGCAAAGGAGGTCTTGAGGAAAATGTCAATTTTCACTAGCTAAAAGCTTCAAAATGTGAAAAAATGGATTACTATCCCAAAGATGTATATTTTGTTTAGCATATGACAAAAAAAAACTTAGAGAAAACCTTTTCAATAACAAGCTACAGACAAATATATAAAACTAAATCGATTTTTATGCTCACAAAAGTATTCGTTTCTGAGATTTTTTTTTTTATTATTTTTCTTTTTTCGTGGGTTAGTGAAATTTTTTTCAGTATTCTGGTTGGGAATACATTTTAAAATTTAATTCATGGAAAAACACAACATTTAAGCGTCATTGTGGGTCTTAATCAATTACAAAATGCCGAAAAGTACGGAGTTAAAACATTTTTCAGAAGAAAATTATTTTACACCCACACAATGAGGGTTGATCCTTTAAATATACATATTTCTGGTATGTTTGATAATAGTCCGCTTACCATAATAAGCGTGGTTTTTCTACTGAAATCAAGAAATTTCCTGGAAAATAAGCCGCGTTTTGGCCGAACATAGTAATTGAAAATCAGAGAAGATCGGACAATTCTTAAAAATAAAACAGGAAAGGCATTCATTTATAGGCTGCAAAAATTAACACCGCCATGACCACATCCTAAGGAACAAATGTAACCACTTAAACTATCGGAACAGTTCCTAGAAGCCATGATGTGCATGGTAGAAGCTCTAAAATAAAATCCATGTTTTCACCTATCAATATGCCGAAGCTATTTTTTTGATATAACGTATTTGAACCAAACTTTAGAGTATTCAGGGCAAGTAATATTAAGTAAAAAAGGTTTTCAATGTTTAGGGATCGGATTGAGAAGGGATAGTTTGCCGCAAGCTCGGAAAAGCCCTTAAGTTAAAAAATTATACAGCAACAGTAAAGCACGTCAGAGTTTCTGTTCCAGTTTAGGGTCTCTGTCTGCCCCAGGAGTTGGAAATATGTTTTTTTTTAGACAGGATAATAATTGCTGATATATATTTAAATATATTAAGGTGTATTTTACTCTCTAGTGGCACCCTAATGTGTCCAGAACCCGACAAGTTCAATTTCCACCAGTACAATAGCGCCGAACAAACGACTTTTAAAGTCAAGATGTGGGTGTTGTACTATTGAAACCAGAGTAAAACTCCTTCACAGAGCCCAGACGTTAGCCCTACTGAAAATCTATGATACCATCTTAAGCTAAAATTCCAGGAACAGCGGATTTCTGCCGAAAAAGCAACTTAATGATATAATGCGGAAGAAATGGTCGAATATATCCTGAAAGAGGTGCCCAAAATGGGTAGAGCCAATGCAAGGACGATTATAAGCTATTAAATAAAACAAAGGATTGCACATAATATATAACACAATAAAAAAATAATAAATATTTAATGCCGAAACAAAAAAACGAATACTTTTGTGACATGAAATTTCGTAGTTCAAATGAATTTCTTAGAAAAAAAAAGCTAGTTTTTTAACAACTTTTTGTTGTTTTCCTAATGTTTAATATCTGAGTAACATAAAATAAAAACTAAAGTGATCAATTTGATACTTAATCATTAAAAAAATAACATAATTATTCGTCGGGAACCTTGCAACGAATACTTTTGTGACTCACTGTATGTTTTCGGAGGCTGGAGTGCTGGAAATGGTCGACAAGAAGTATGGGCCCGTTTGCAACAGTTAGCACTAAATGAATTGGAGAGACGAATGTTAATAAGCATTCAACGTACCAACCAAAATTTGAGAAAATGCGAGAATTTTGGATGCTGTAACTTCAAGTGATAATATTCAAAAGACTATCTGCTCCAAAACTGAGGTCCTCGTTTTCGTAGAAACGGACAGACGGATGGGCGAAAAGGACAGACGGACATGGCTAGATCGACCCGGGTCGATATATCATTTAGCTGCCATGGGAACGATCAGTAGATGTAGAGAAAAATGTAAAGCTGGGAACGTAAAAGTGTATATACATACATACATACATATATGTATGTTATAAGGAAATGTAATGAAACTTTATATAAATAACTTTTATTATATTAGATATTTTAAATCTAAAATATAGATATTTTATACGATTTAAAAATGTTTTTTTTTTTTTTAATTTATAATTTATGTCGTTTTTAAGCGACGCACAGTATCACCTCTCGAATAAAAGTCGCTGCAAAAATAGGAAAATTCATAATCGCAAAAAAACTTTCAGTTTTTTTTGTGGAAGATATAAGCACTCAAAGTTGAAGTTGTTTTAGGTGTATGCGTCATACAACAAAAAATAGGTAAATTAGTCGGCTTTCAAGTCACACAAAAAACTACATAACCAATGGTTATGATTTTTTTCAAATGACAGATACATTCATTAACATTTATTCAAATTAAAAAAGGGTAGTTTTGTTTATGTTTGTACAGGAAAATCGCTACCTGCCAATATTTTCATCTTTTTCTGTCTAAAGTAGTCTATAACTTCTGAAGCTGTCCAGAGCCGGCAATTACACTATGACTACGCACTGCGTGTATTTTTCCTGAATCATATTCAGTTTTCATCGGCTGCGTCCAGC